AGATTTTTCCACTAACACCATGGTCTTTGGTTTCAGCCAAAACAGCCGGCATATGTACCACAGTGGGACCCACTGCTGACGCAGAGTCACGGTATGCTTCAGGGCACGCCTGAGAGAGTCAGACTATCTGGGTTCACAATGCGGATGACCAGCAAGGCATCTTGGGCCAGAAAACACCTCTCGCTGCCTGGGTGCCTCCATGTGTGACCCTTCTCCTTCTTGGCTCCCTCTAACCTCAGAAACTTCAGTGCTGTTATCAAAGTCCACTACTTTATAATTATTTTGCATTATCATTTCATTCACTTTGTGTCCATATATTACTCACAGATGGGAAATTGTCCAGTCTTTGTCTTTATCTTACTTGCTGACTTGCTGACTTACTTTGCTTGGCTAATCCCCTCAAGTTCCTTCTAACCTCCTGGGCTTGTTAAGGGGATTAAGTAGATATATGTAAACATGTAGGAGTGCGTGTGGTATTTACCATAAAGGAGAGAAATTATTAGGGATAAGGCTCCTTATGTGGGACAGGATGAGGGCTCCCTTCAAAGAGGATTCCACTGTTGGTGTTGCCAGCATCAAGGGTGAAGAATTTGAGATACAACCCGACATACCCCATACTCACCCCACCCATCTACTCCACTCTCACCCCACATGGGCGCTGCACCTATTTCCCAGATCGCTGCAACCTAGAACAGTAAAAAGATAGAGTTGGGCAGGAAGTTGTAACACATCCCATTCACTAAGAGGATGGAATATCAGCCTCTAATTCAGCAGCCTCTAATTTTCTACCCACCTTCACTGGATTTGTGTGGGTTCCTAGGTGCTGGCCACTAGCTGGCCACTCATGGGCAACTGTGACCTATTTGCTATCTACAAATCCCGGCAGAGCATTCCTTGACTCCCTACGGAGTATAGCTTGTATCACCAGGCAGGCCCCTGGCATGCCTAGTACGCTGTTGACCTGATTACCTGACTGTCTCCATGGGGGTCTCTGAGTAACTCCTGTCCCGGTAAGTTCCTGTCATAACAGTTTTGTTTACAGATATAATGTCCATTTTGTCCCTACATTTTTACATCTTACTCGCTCCACTGTAAATCTACTGCTTTGGCCTGGATTTTGACTGATAAACAGATTCCTTAAACATAAACCAGGCTGGGAATCCGATAGACTTTCTGCTGCTGATCTGCTTGCTTTCAGGACTCCACTGGCCTCTGGGTCCTCTAGCCTAGAGCCCAGGAACCAGACAGGGTAAACACTGCATGTCCCTCCCTATTTATTGTAAAATGAAATCAGAGTAGAGGGAGCTGGGCTCTCGTGATTTTCAAATAACCACAGAGTGAGGAGATGGGTCCTAGCACATGTGTGGGGGTGGGGCACAACCTGACCTCCTTCACCCCTGGAAGGGAACTTTTCCCAATTGGCACAATCTCAGTTTTCCCAAACCAATCTCGGCTTCTAGGCTGGTGTCAGAAAGGTATGGAGAGCTTTTCTCTTCTATCAGGATTGACCACCCCCAGTGGGGCAGATGGAAATATTTTTCTGACTTAATGCCAATGATTAGGTCGCCCAGACACCACTATGTTGGCCATTTCTGTCTGGCCAGTGTAACCCAGACATAGATAATATTAAGCCCAATCCACAGTCCATGCCTGTGGCATACCAAAGCCCTTCCAATGACTGCTGGGTATTTCTAAGGAATTTGCATTCTCTAGGTCATCTCTGTCTTTGGGCAACCATGTCTTCTTATTTCACTTAGCATGTCATCAGGATTTATCCATATTTTAGCATGTGTCAGAATACTGTTCCTTTTTAAGGCTGAATAATATTCCATTGTGTGTGGTGGTGGTGGAAGTGGTGTGCGTGTGTCCCATTTCATTCAGCCATGAATGGACATTTTGGGTTTCCAACTTTTTTTTTGTGGCTATGAGGCCAAAATAATAATGCTGCTATGAACATTGGTGTACTAATACCTGTTTGAGTCCTTGCTTTCAGTTCTTTTGTGTATATACCCAGAAATGGAACTGCTAGGTCAAATGCTGAATTTCTTGAGGAACCATGCTTGTGTATCCTTGAACAGGTCATGGACCTCTCTAAACCTCATGTGTAAAACTGGGAGATTAAAAGCACCTCCCTTATTAGCATGTTCTGAGAATTAATGCAAAGAAAGCATTTGGCTCAAGGATTTGACCCATCATAAACAGTCATAGATAAATTTAATCTAATTTTTCTCAATTCAAATTTAATCTCATAAATTTAATCTCATTGTCCTCTGAATTGAGGCTCTCAAACTAAATGATCTCTGAAATCACTCCCAGCTCCAACAATCCATGATCCCACCATTAAATTATTTTCCTGTTGGAGAAGCCAGGAGCTCTCAGTGTGTGTATCAGGGAACACCCTCTTCACGATCCCCACAAAAATCTGCCTCTGCCAAGAAGGCCCAATTTCCATAGCTTTCTCCCTGGAATTTGCTAACACAACGCATTATAAACCAACATCTAATTTTTCTTGCCACTCCTCTTCCTTGCTTTCTTTCCACATTCGCTTTCTCAGCGAGTGGCTCCTACCCACTAAAGAGCTGTACTTCCAATCATCTGCCCCAGTTGCCTTTCTGCTCACCCCACCAGCTAATGTCTGTGGGAAGCAACGCTCGTGAAGTTATCCATATTAAGGTTTTGTTCCCAAGAGTCACATATTTTAAATAAATTTTTTTTTTCTCTTAGGCAGAACCCTGCTGGCAGAATGACTGCTATTTGGTGGAGCTAGTGGAGCAGGGTCTCTCCCCTCCCATGCTGTTTATGCTGTGTTATCATTTGGCCGAATGTTTGGAGTCTTGTCATCCAACATGTGCCCCATGCGGATGAGCAACAATGTCTGTTCCACTCCGGTGGGTGCTTAACATTTCATCAAATGCTCTTCCCTAGCAAAGTAAGTAATTAGAGGAAATATGTTTCCAAACTTTTTTTTGACAAGGCCAGATTCAGAATTCCAGCAGGGAGTGAACTCGTTGAGGAAATATTTTCCTTCTCCACACTTTCCCTCCATCTTCCCTGCAAATGTGAATGCTCAGCAACTGAAATACCCTCACTAGACACGTGAAGTTGCTCCCTGGTTCAGTCAGCAGCTTGGCTGCCAGGAAACCACGCACCCTGCCTGAAGCTTTTTTCACAGCAAAAGGTAAAATAGATTCTCAGGTCAGGAATAAAAGGGTTTTTCAGATCCTGGGCAAGAAAAAAAAGCTGAGTTTTATTTTTTAAGGTTTATGGGTTAGAGTCAGCTCACCTGACAGGGTATTAAGAAAACCGCAGGGGTGCGTGGATCCAGCAGGAGACTCTAGCCTTGGGGGCCAGGCGCTGCGGGAAGGAACCAGGTTCCCCTGAAGTTGGGCTCCTGGAGTTTCAGTTGGTTCCAAGGGCAGAGACAGAGCAAGTAATCTAATGCAAAGTCATTTTTGCTCACCTGGGGCCAGTGACTGCCCTTATAGATGGCCACCCACTCATGGGCTCCTTCTTTATTGCTCTCTGGATGGCTGGGGTGTGGCAAAATTCAAATGAAACTCTAGTTGGAGAGTCAACCACCATGGAAGATTCTGCCTGAGGCAGGCAGGTAGTTGGAAAATATTGCCCAAAATGGGGGAGGTGAGATGGGGGGTTATGTGAGTGTTTGCTTATTTTTTTTAAGGATGTAGAGGCCAGAGGTGTTGGCGGGGTGGGGGTGGAGGGTGGTGAGAGGATTCACCAGAGACAGTGGGGAACAGAACATGCAGATCTACTGAAATACACTGCTGAGGGGAGCAGCAGGCTAGTCAGAAGAGGTCTGCAGCGCCATGTGGGTCACCTCCCTGGCCAGGGATCAAACTCATGCTGCAGTAGTTGTGGATAGCTTCCTTGTGCTGTGCTTAACCCCTTGCACCACCAGGGAGGCCCCTGTGTTGGCTTTTTTGTCCATCGTGAAGGGATGTGCCTTATGTGCCTGATGCCCATCCACATGTGGACTGTTGGGTTTAGCATTTACCCAGCTCTGTTCAGGCAGTTGCCAGCTAATTGCAGCAACCGAGTGCCACCTTTCAGGCAGAGCACAGGTGACAGGGAAGCAGCACAAAGTCACACATGCTTCCTCTCCTCAGCTGTTCTGTTTTGTCATATCTGCCCACCCCAGCCTGCCCTTACCTGCCAAGCTCTCACCTCAGCTCCTGACCCCTCCTAAAGACAGACTCCCAAGAAGCCCCTGTTGCCTTGCCTGGCTCCCCTGTCTCTGCCTCCAGGGAGTCGAGGGGCTCCCAGGGGCTGTGTGTCTCCTTTCAGCCTCCTGCCCCTGGGAGCCCGGGGCACCCGGGAGCGGAGCCTCAGAAGTGACAAGTGAAAGGCACAGAGCAGAGCTCTTTCTAAACAAACACTGCGCATCCCCGAGAAACAACTTGCACTTTTAACCTCGGCTTATTCTTCTTTCTCCTTCTTACCGAGAAAGTGTATATGTGCCCAGGAAGTCAACCTCCGCTGCTGGGAATCCGTTCTAAAGACCGCGACTGTAAGATTTTAGCACACGAGTCACCAGGAGGGACACCCCGGACACCAGCCCTTCCTTCCCTCCTGCTCACCTCTAAGTGGGCTCTTTCCAGGGAAACTGAGCTTTTGAAAGTCAAAGTGGGTATGACAGACTGGAGAGATGGGTAGGGAGGGGAGGTGATGGGCAGGGTTTGTTATGTTTTAAAAGGATAAAATAAAATGAGCCAATAAATTAGAACCGGTATCCCTTCCTGAGGCAGTTCCACCCACCAGTTGGGATGATAAAACAAAGTCACGTTTTCAGGGAAGGTGACAGGCACTCCACTCCAGCACACCAGCCGAGCCCCAAGATTATCTCTAGAAGCAGCACCAACCCCCCCCACTCCCCCATGCACCCACTTCTTGTGACTCCCCAGCCCTGCTCCCAACCAGACCCCAGGAGGGAAATGCCTCCTCCTGGGGAGAGGGGGGACCCTGAAGGCTACTCACAGTACCTCTCGGCAGAGATGAGATGAGAAGGAGCTGCAGGAAAGTGAGCCCCAATTTCGCGCACCAGCCCAGCTCCATTGCTCCCGCAGCCAGTGCCGGTGGCGGAGTAACTGCTGGGGCGAGACCAGGGACCAAGGCAGGCCAGCGGGCAGGCGGCTCTTACAGGGACCTCCCCAAGCCCCAGCGGAGCAGGAGCTCGGGTTTCAGCTCGCCAAGCTCTCCTCTCCTCATCGGAGGGGAACCACCTTCAGCCAGAGCGACGTCAGCCCAAACCTCTCCTCTCACTGCTGCCTTAACCCTTGCGCAGCCCGGGAGGTGTGGCCACGCGGAGCCGGGGTGGGAAGGCCCGGGCTGTGGCCCGAAGGGACACTGTGGGGTAGGAGGCCAGCCAGGCTGGGATCCCTCCAGCCACGCCAGGCTGGGGATGCGGTGCGGGTGTCTGGTAGTCCCAGGATGGCTCAGATGGGGGCGGGGGTGAGACAGAAGTAGGCAGGGCTGTGGGGACCGCTCAGGTGTACCTGCAACCCCTTATACATTGGCACCACCCACATCAAGAGCCTGGGGTGGAAGACCCTCTGCCTACCGGGACTGCAACATAACCTGATCAGAAGCAAAGTACTGGTGGGAGGGAGAGCCAACCTTCAAGTTCTCCCCCTCAATTCTCAAGCTCTCCTCTGGCCTGGATCCTTGAGGTGCTTCTTCTAGGGATAATCTTGGAGCTCAGCAGTTGTGCTGGAGTGGAGTTCCAAACAGGTCATCCCTGTTTGGAATTCTTATCCTTTGTACTCTAGGCTGCTGGAAAACGTCTTCATCTTCCCATGACGCCCATTATGGTAAGTTTAGCAGCATAAATAGGAATATGGCTGGCAGGGTATTAGGCTCAGGGTTTTATTTTTTATTTTTTTAAAGATTTATTTATTTATGCATATAAGAGCTGGGGTATAGGCTAGAGATGCAGGGGGTGAGAGGACTCACCAGAGACAGAGTGGGGAGCAGAACAGGCAGACTGACTGAAATACACTGCTGAGGGGAGCAGCAGGTGAGAGAGGAGAGGTCTGCTGAGCTATGTGGGTTTCTCCCATGCTGGCCGGGAATTGAACTCGTACTGCAGAGGCTGTGCATTGCTTTATAGTGCAGTGCTTAACCCCTTGCGCCACCAGGGAGGCCCTAGGCTCAGGGTTTTAAAATCATACAGGACATGACCTGCACCATGAGGGCTGTCAGTCCTGGACAACTGACTGGATAATAGCTGATTTTTTTTCTTTTTTAATCAATTTCTCTGGCCCAGAAATCCAGGTACTTTACATATATTGACTCATTTCTCATAAAACACCTATCATCCCCAATCTTACAGATAGGGAGACTGAGTCACTGAAAGGTTCAGCAACTCATCCAGGGTCACACAGTGGGTAAGTGACAGAACTAGGGCTCGAACCCACAGAGTCTATAGTCCTGGCCACCAGGCTATACAGCCTCCTAGGAGGCTGTGTATACAGATTTTATTTAACCACTATAGTCATGCTGTAGAATAGGCAGTATTGCCCACACAGTATGGATGCAGAAACCAAGAGTCAGAGATTAAGTGACTTGCTCAAGGTCACACAACTGAAAATGGCAGAGTGTGACTCACTTCCAGGTTTAACTCGGTCTCAGTTGAGACCCCTAGATGAAAAAGCAAAGTTGGGAAAAACAAGGGATTATCCAGGGCTGGCACAGTGGGGCAGGTTCCCTGAGTTGGGAGAGCTTGACCTGTGACCTGAGAGGTAGGATCTCAATCCTCGAAAGGGTGGGAGAGCTTCCTAGGAGCAGTACCACTGCTAGCGCTAGTGCCACGGGGCAAAAATGAGTCTTTATATGTTTATATTGTATTTTTATTCTTTTTCTTTTTCTTTTTTTTTAACTATTTATTTATTTATTTATTTATTTATTTATTTATTTATTTATTTATTTATTTATTTATACAAGCACTGGGTACAGTCAGAAGTGTGGGAGGGTGAGAGAATTCACCAGAGCCAGAGCAGGGAGCTGAACAGGCAGATGGACAAAATACACTGCTGAGGGGAGCAGCGGGCGGCAGGAGAGGTCTGTACACCATGTGGGACCCTCGCCTGGTGGCCGGGGATCGAACTAGCACAGCCCCTAGCTCATACTATGCTCAATAAATTTTATGCTCAAAAATTAAGTATCTATCTGAACTGTCATCAAGGAAACCCCACACTGTAGGCCTTCTTCCTCACCCTTGACCTCTCTTTTCAGGTGGAATTTCTTTATAACAATCATCAAGAGTAGCTTTGTAGGGCCTCCCAGGTGGTGCAGGGGTTAGAGATAGTGCTATCAAGCTATGGCCAGCCACTGCAGCATGAGTTCCATCCCCAGCCAGGGAGCAACACACATGGTGCTGCAGACCTCGCCTGTCTTGCCTGCTGCTCCCCTCAGCAGTGTATTTCAGTCAGTCTGCCTGTTCTGTTCCCCACTTCCCCACACCTCTGGCCTGTACCCCAGTTCTTGTATGCATAAATAAATAAATCTTTGAAAAAAAAAGAGCAGCCTTTAAAAGGGGGGGAAGACCCAAAAGCAGCATATCTAAGGGGTGGAGGGCAGAGGTTCGAAGAGGGAGGTTCACTTTGTTGCCCGTCAGCCAACCCTCTTCTGTTGGGAGGTATGTGGGGAAGAGGGAACTGAGTTTCCAAATAACTGTGGGTGTTAGAGCCTCTCATGAGTCTTTCTAACACCAGGGGACAGTACCACGTCCTGCATCCCACCCACCCTGACCTCCCAGAGTCAGCCATATCCCTATAGCAACTGTATGCCCGACAGGGTGATGGACCTGACTGGCTGCTCCCGAAGGTGTCACATCTTTGCTTCTCCAGCCTCAGGGGAGTGGGTCAGGACCTTAGTCCCCATCCTAGAATGCCCACAGAAATAATGGGTCCCCACAGGCCGTTGTCACTACTTTAAGTTTGTGAATTTCCTATGTCTAGGGAATCTGGGGAGAAATTCTCTAAAAAGAACATGACTCATTTCTCTGGGGAACTCAACGCAGTGATAAGACATCACCTTGTTGAACTTCACAATGAACCTGGGCTGGCAGAGGGTGGGAGAAGCTCACTATGATTCAGAAAAGGTCGCTATTTTGCCTGTGCTTTATAGTGCTTTATATACATATTTTTTTCTACAAAAGTTAGCTCCTTATCCCATTATGAGCAACTCAGTTTTTCATACTGATACAGCTTAGTATTTTTCTAAATCAGGAGTTCTTTTTTTTTTTTTAAAGATTTATTTATTTATTTATATAAGCACTGGGTATAGTCAGAAGCGCGGGAGGGTGAGAGGATTCACCAGAGCCAGAGCGGGGAACAGAACAGGCAGACTGATGAAGTACACTGCTGAGGGGAGCAGCGGGTGCGGCAGGAGAGGTCTGCGTGCCATGTGGGACCCTTGCAAGTGGCCGGGGATTGAACCAGTGCTGCAGAGGCTGCGGGCAGCTTCGCAGCCTAGTGCTCAACCACTGCGCCACCGGGGAGGCCCTAAATCAGGAGTTCTTAACCTGAGTTTCACAGAGTCCATTAGGATGGGAGGTTTTAGAGAGTCTCCAAATCTCTCCAAATCATATGCAAAATGTTGCATGCATATTTTAGAGCAAGAAGGATCTGTAGCCTTTTTCAAAGGTTCCTAGGAATCTGTAAACCTACAACATTCTTCATTTAGAATCCTAAGTTGACATTGAAAAACTGACTTAAGTATTTGTTGGATTTGGAGAAAGTGCATATATGAAACTTTTATACATGCAAAAGAGTCTAGGCTATAAAATGCACAATGAATGTTGGAAAGACCTTCCTATTTTTCTATTTCTATCTTTTTTTCTATTTCTGCCCAAAGTGTACTTCCTCAGGCTCACACAGCTCAATGTGGAAGCCAGCCAGGCCACTTACTACCTATGTCCACCTGGGCAGGTTATTTCACCTCTGGTGGCCTTTATTTCCTCATCTGTAAAGTGGGAAGAATAATGGCACCTGTCCCCCTATAGTTAGCATGAAGAGGTCAGTGTAGTGCTTCAAACATACTGAGCACTCAGTGAACATTAGCTATTTTTTGTTGCTAAGGAGGGCTTATCTCCCCCTCCTTCCCTTACTATGCCCATTTCTGGAAGGACTTAATCCCTGAAAAGTCTGTGGGTAAAAAAGGCATAGTGACATGCAGGGAAGTAGGGAATGATACCTGGAATTAAGAATCAATTACTTAGGGCCTCTCCTGGTGGCGCAGCGGTTGAGTGCTGGGCTGCGAAGCTGCCTGCAGCCTTTGCAGCGCTGGTTCGATCCCCGGCCGACGGTCGAGGGTCCCACGTGGCATGGCAGACCTCTCCTGCCGCGCCTGCTGCTCCCCTCAGCAGTGTATTTCGTCAGTCTGCCTGTTCTGTTCCCCGCTCTGGCTCTGGTGAATTCTCTCACCCTCTCGTGCTTCTGAGTGTACCCAGTGCTTGCATAAATAAATAAATAAATAAATAAATCTTAAAAAAAAAAGAAAAAGAATTACTTATCAGCATTCAAAAGCAACAATTGGCTGTAGTTAGACAGGGGTCAAGTCACCCATTTAATAACAAGTCATAGAACCCACTAATTTGCACATGAAAGGATGAGGATTCCAACAAAGACTGCACCTTTGTCGGTGCCACCAGAAGGCTGGTAGCATGACAGAAAGAGAGCAGAGGACGCTGTGCTTCTCAATTTCAAGGTGTAACCTTTGCATATCAGCAGCTGAGCAGCAACCAAAACAGTGGGAGAGACAGCTGAAAAGGAGCTCCAGTAGAACTGGTCTACAGAGCTCCAAGAGGCTACAGAAACCAGAACTTAGTTTTCATCAGCTGTACAATATACAGGTTCAAGTCAACCAGAACCAGAGAAGGAGAAGGGTAGGTATGCAGAAAAGACAAAGGACCCTTCCAGAACCTGCTACAACGGGCCCCACCACGCAAGTCTCCAGCCCTAATGAATCCCGGCTGTTCACCTACAAACAAGCAATCATGTTCTGCCTCCAGGTCTGGCTCAGCTCCACCGCCTTTTCCATTGGGAACCAAGCAAGAGTGTAGGTGATCTGCGGTGCCTTCTCTGTCTACATTCTTCTTGCTCTAAGTCATTCTTCATGCAAATTGCTAAATCCTGCAAGCTTCCCACCTTCCTTGTCAATGTGCTCCTGAATCACTTGGGGAAACCTGTTCTTCACTTCTATATGTATACTACAAGCTTCCATTTTTAAAAAA